CTTTGATATATTTGCACAAAGTGAATACAAGAAGTCTTCACAAGGCTGCTGGCCACATCACAGAAACACAAGTCGACAAGAGTGATGACAAACTGACTACATATAACTCGCTCACTGCCACGATCACTCACCGAAGAAAATACAATAGCAGTAAAGATAAGACAAGATAGCAGAGAGATGGGAAATTTGAATTCCCTTCCGAATTTTAGCACACAATAAAACAAGCAAGTTAAAGGAGCATAAAAAATAGAATTAAATCTTGAAAATATTTAATCAAATCAGTCGGAGGATCCTCAGTGATCCACTCGGCTGTTGTTAAAACTTCCTTTGTGCGTCACACAACATGTGAAACTCCAACAGTGCCAGGGCGCAGGGAGGCCACAGCACAGCATGCCACATTCCACACTTGCTACACAAAGAATGGCATACGCACAGTATACCATATACAACACAACATACATGGTGGCAGCATTCCTGGGGATGCACTAGTAACTGGCGACAGGTAAGAGTTGTGAGTCACTTGGCACAGACAGGCCAGTCTTGCTGGGCAGTGAGACAGATGCTGACTTGCTTAGAGGCATGCATCTTTCATGTCACTAGTCAACACACACAACTGATGCATAACAAACAAAACTGATTACACACAACATAACAGATTTCTACTACCACCATGCAATATTTCTGGATACGAACATCTCAATATTTCTGGAAGACAAGGAATTGTTTTAGGTCATTTTGGGACTTAGGTATTGAGAAGCTTCTGGTGCAGCAACTGCTGTACTTCTCTTAATGCATCCTATGACTGTTGCTCCTTACGCAGCAGTGAGGATGCACTTGATGCGGTACGAGCGACGCGATGTGACGCAAGATGAGTGGCGACGGCACAGCAGGTGATAGAGTGCGATGTTGAGGCTAATACTTCAATCCATGGAAGGGCAGAGAGGCAATTCCCTTTAGGTGTCTGCACTTCATCACACCATAAGGTGAAACTAGATGCAATCTTCCCGTTTAGGCCAAAGTCTCTCTTCAATTTCAGTTTTCAAAGGCTAACGACACCGCAGGGCAGGGGGCATGAAGGTGAAGGAGGGTGGGTATTGTGGAATGGAAGGGAGTTACTTATCACCCATGCACAGTAGCCCCAGTTATGGAAGTCTATTACTACAGGCCCAGCAGCATTTGGCACCTCAATTTTATTTGTTATAAATAAATAATTATTCTGATAATTCAAACCTATTATTTGATATGTGACTTTTTTAAAAATCATGAACAAAAATCTTCCAAATTATTTGGACAAGGTTGACATAAAATCCCTCTAAAACACACAAAATATTTTCTACCATTAAACTGTAGGAAATATCCCAACTTTGCATTAAAGAATAAATAAATGAAAATTACCTAATACAAATCACTAAAATGCAGTAACACTACAATATTATACATCCTATCATGTACAGAGTGAGCCAAATGTTTTGCTGCAGCACCTGACAACTATTTCCCACCACCACAACTCTGGACCTCCACTGCAACCAGAAGCGTGCTTGCAAGTGTGGCGTGCACACAGCTTGCCAATCCCACACCATCACCCCCGCAACGGGCTATAAGTATCCTGTCTACAGTGGCATGTAGACAATGCGGTAAAAAGATGTTTGCACGAACGAAAAATAGGATGCCAGAACTCATCACACCACGCAAACAAGAAATCCATATTTATTCTGAATTATCAATTCTATACATACCTACCCACCTATTCCACACCAACATAATGAAGACTTTTTTTATCACAGAAAGCTGACAATAGTGAAGTTGCTATAATAATAATAATAATAATAATAATAATAATAATAATATTGTAGTACTTGTACTAATATTCCAGAAATAATGATACATATAATCATGAATATCCTATTCAACTAAAAATCTAAAAAATTAACGATTTCCCCATTTTCTGTCAAAGAGGAATACAGGCTATGTACAAAATGAGATGTATCTCAGAAAATATGAAAGCAGCATTGTTTGAAAGGTAAAGGAATATTTACTTTTTCTCTCATAACCAAAACAAAAACAAACTGAGATAAACAAAACAATAACTATTTAATAAATTAGAAGAACAAATAAACATACGACAAAGTCGGGAAATAGGTTTCTCTCTAATAGCAGAATTAAAAGTCAATCAAAAGAATATTAAAAAAATAATTCATTACAATTCTAGTAATACTATTTGTCCATTTGAAAGCAAGTAATTCAATACAGCATTATTGCATAGCCTTTTGGATATTCCCAAAAATTTCTAATTACATAGATTACTACTTGAAATTTAGGCACGTCATTGACTGGAAATGCAAGTTTAGTTCAGTATATGCAGTACTCTGACTTAACATTTACAACCACACAATTCATTAATTTATCTCCTGTATATAAATTAAATAAAATAAATAAATAAATAAATAAAAAAAACACACACACACACACAACTACCACCTGACTGTTCAAGAGCAATATTTAAATATGGTAAGCCAAAATTCTATAAATGCTCCCTTGCAATTTCATTTTGTAACCTTCATTACAAAACAATGCTGAAGCTCTTCCAAAGGTAAGAAGAAAACATGATAACTTGATCATTACAGGGTTGTGAAATTCTAACATTCTATTTAAGAATATAAAGGAAAACTAAAAGGTGAGGTGTGTATTTGTGTAACTAGTTCCATACGACCTTGATGTCAGCAACGCGTTAAATGACTGGTTTTAAAAATGTAGACAATCTGGAACACATTTTTAATTTTCTTGAAGTTAATATTACTTTTGAAATCAACAAAATAACAGCTAGCTTAGGACACTTTCAGGACAAAAGGGAGTAATTTGAACTGACCTGATAATGTAAATACTCTAGAATTTTGTGCAGTAGGTGAAAATGAACAAACATACAAGATATCGAACTAATCACAACGCAATACCCTTGCATTCAAGTAGCTCAGTAAACAGATGCATCTTCATTCACAATTTAATTAAATTATAAACATCCTTTTTCTGAACAAAACATACCCTTTCTGAAACTTCATAAAGAGAAGGTGAGAATATGCCACAGCAGACATTAAACTACTGAGTGGTAGAACATTCATTTGAAATAATGAGCACAATGTTTTCTTACAGTATTGAAGAGAGAAAACTAAATGAATCACTTTTACATGATTTCGATACTATAATGTCCAAGTAAATGTCTGCTTATTGGTTTATTAGTATTAGTTCATAACAAGCATGTTATTGTTCATTTACCCATAACTGATATTGGTCAGTGTTAATTTGGTCTTCCATGATAAATTGGTTTCTTCCCTCATAACTAACTCAATTTAACTTCTTTAAGGGTAACATTCATAATAAAGCTCAATTTCTTAGTTTTGTTGTGTTTACCAAGTATTACAGGATTCATTATTGATGAAACATCTTTGCTTGTCACAATATAGACAGCAGCACAAGTGTGTGATATTCATTTTTAAGTCTTGTCTACAAAGTATATTTTAGGGAATAGTATATAATATAAAAAAAATAAATACATTGAATGCGTATAATAATCAATAGAACAATTGTCACAATGTGTAGACCCTGTCCATAAGCTTAAGAATTCTTAATAACTTATGTAATTAATAATGAAAACAAAAATTATCACTAAACCTTGAGAGAAAAAGGTAGACACTTTTAACAAAACAAAAGAGAACCTTTCCAATTCCAAACTCAGCTTCCCTTGTACCACCTTCTAGAGAGAATACAGAAAGAGCTACCAACTTGTCTGAACAGGTGGCAATGCGAACTGCCGCAGGGCAGGGCTGGAGCTAAGCCCAGGCAAGGCCAGAGGAAGTGTCAGAAAAGCAGCAGCGAGCACTTGCAGTTAGTGAGGCAGCAGTCACCACCACCCTTCTTAGCTGCAGCCGAGGCAGCTGGGAGCATTCTGGACATGCGTGTGAGGGGCATGCCTCGCAAGAAGGCGCATGGCAATATTCTGCTCCCTAAACCACCACAGGACAATGAGGCTGGTGCCCCCAGAGGGTGCTGATTAATGAGGGAAAAGAGGTTAGTAAGAAATTGGCACCACAAGTCTGTTAATGTAGCAAACAAGGGCAGCTGCACCCAAATCCGCAATGTCATACTTCCATTTGTTTAGTGAGTGTTCAAATCATGCCAAATCATATTTACTGGCCCAAGAAAATTCAATTCAAAAAGTCCTTTATCACCATCTAAATGTACCATCTCATCATTGAACAATTTCTACAGAGAAGTAACTATTCAACTGTTCTAAATACATATCAAAATTCCCAAAAGTCTGTGCATGCACACCCCAGGACTTCTCTGTACAAATAGCAGCAGGCTCAAGGTAGCAGCTCCAGCGATCCATTTCCCCCAGGCAAGGAGTACTTTTGAGCTGATTTTATTTCTTTCACTACTGAATCAAGGACAACTAGGGTCACTAAAAGCATATCACCCTGAAGAATCATTATAAACATAAAATATTGGGTTTCTGAAAAATTATCCCCCTCCACTAACATTACAAACACATTGAAAAACAAGGGGCTCGTCGGTAACATACGGCAAGCATGTCCTGGGGCAAAGAGGACCCTGGAGGAGCGAACTACAGCTCTGACCCAAAACCGCCCGACTGCGAAGCCTGAGGAGGAGCTGGGTGCCGGGGGGGCGGGCGGGGGCGGGCGGGCGGGGCTGGCGGGGCGGGGCGGCGGGCGGGGCGGGGCGTGGGCGGGGCGGGGCGGCGCGCGGGCGGGCCGGGTGAGGGGGCTCGGGGGTGGGAGAACGGGGCGCGGGGCGCTGAGCGAGCCGGGCGAGGTGGAGGGCGGGTTGAGGTGGAGCGGGAGGCGGCGGCGGCCGCGCCTGACGGGGGCGCGACTAACTGGCGCGAGGCGGCCTGGGCGGGCGGCGCCGAGTCCCGCTCGCCGTGAGGCGGCCGCTGCGACGGCGCGCCGAGCGCTCGTAGGCGGCGGCCGCCGCCCCCGCGGGGGTCAGCGCGCCGCCGCGTCCTCGCCGTAGTCCGCGCCGCTGCGCAGCAGCACGATGTCGCCCTCCGTCTTCCTCGCGGCGGCGGCCGCGCCGGCGCTTCGCCGCCGAGAGCCGTTCAGGCTGAAGTCGTGAGCACGGGCTCGCCGGGCGGGCACGCGCGCGCCGCGCGGACCGCCGCCGCCGCCGCCTCCGCCGCCCAACAGCCCCGCCACCGACGCGTCGGACCCGCGCCGCGAGCCGGAGAACAACCCGCCACCGCTCCGCCGCATTCCGCCACGCCGCCGCCCTTCGACTCTGACAGAATGGGGGTGGCGGCCCGAGAACGGGAAAAAGGTCGAGTTCTCGCGGCGGAAGCCGAAGCGCCGAGCGGCAGGCGCGAGTCGGACTCCGTTGCGGCGGTGCTGCGGCGGCGGGCCGGCCGTCGAGGGCTCTTCTGCGCGCGTCCGCGGCCGAGGGCGAGGCGTGCCGCGCGGCGACGACGTCGCCGCCGCGGCCCGGCCTTGCCGCCCAAGGCCTTGAAGAAGCGCGCCAAGTCCAGTCCTTAGAGCAGCTGCTCTTCCAGATCCGAGTTCCCTGTTCTGCTGTTGTTTCGCGGCGGCCTCTCTCTTTAAAAGGGTCAACGCGTCGTCACTGTGGCGCAAAGCGCTACTAGAACAGAGGTAAGTGTAGCACACTCACGGGAACGAGGCGGGGTGGGGTGGGGCGGGAAATCGGGAACGGACGCGAGCGCGGCGACGAGGAAGGGGCAACTGCCGCCGGCCCGGCCCGAGGGAGGTGGCAAACTAGAGACAGCAACATTCACGTCACAGACACAAATAGGCTAGAGAGGCATCGACATTGAACAGACAAATAAATAGCGATACTGTGCATGTATCCGTACCACAGAAAGGCGAGAGCATAAGGAGCAGCATGCAGACTCCCTGCGGGGCGGCCCCGCACTGCCCACTCGCTCACCACTAACCCGCGCCGCCGCCCGCCGCGACGCGTGTGCACGCTTTGGCTCCCACACGATGCGGATTTAAGCACTTGCTTATCAAGGCAAGGATACGTAGGAGAGGGTCAACACAAAGTAATGTAACCAACGGTTATGTAAAGCACGAAGGGCGAAGTGAAGCGAGGTGAAGAATTGGTCGAAAATGGAAACAGCTGGAAGGAAATGTAATATGGGAAAGATGTCGTAGGTGCGTATAAACGTATCTGGCACCCTCGCGTATGTCTAAGTTTTTGCTCCCAATCGCATTAACATGAAATTATGCCTGCCAGATTATAATCACGTACGGCTTTAAACTTGTACAAGCTGAACTCCACGCCTCATTAACAACCGCGTCTAAGCGAACAGGACGATAAAATGGTTTCAGTGAAACGAAAACTCTTACGCTTTTCGAACACCGCTGTTCGGTATTTCAAAGAATCTGGACAACGCCCGCCATTCGGGATCATATCGGGCATTTTGAGGTAATACGTTAAAATTGTGACATTAAAACATTCAGTCCTGCCACTGATGTAGACTTTTTCGAACATTTACCCGAGATCCGTGCAATGATGTTCACATACCATCATTTCAGACAGTTTTCGAGAGCTTTAGCCTCGCATAAGCTAGTCCGTTCGCTACCTGGTTCGTCTTCCGAAATGCATGAAGGGCGCCTGGCGATCGCAGAGTCGATTGGTCTGGCTCGCAAGTGGGCAATTTCTGGATTCCTGAAGGGCGCAGGCGGTGTCTGCTGAGTGAGTACCGTCTCCGGCGGTTAATGCCAGAGCTGTGATTCTCTAGCAATCCTGGCTGAGACGCCGCGTCGTTGGCTGGGGTGGCCGGACATGTCAGGCGAACCGTCGGCACCCCAGCCAGACGACGCGCGCGTCTCCCGGATAGCTGCAGAATTCATGGATTCGAGCCGCGAACTTATCGTATATATGCAGAGGCTTACGAAGCATCGCACATCTATCTCATGTTAAACGAATGGCTTGTACATGACGCGTCGTGGCAGGCAGCGTAGGTTAGAACGTCTCGGGGAGGACCGGGCGTTCGCGGCACGTGCGAGGGAGGGCGTGAGCGTGTGGCGTGTGGCGTGCGGGCGGGGCGTCCGTCGCTCCGGCAGCGGCGGAGGGGAGGTACTCACCCGCTTCATGACGAGTGTGCGGTCGCCGCTTTCCTCCTCGTCGGGCGTGGGGGGCAGCGGGCGCGTGGGCGCGCCGCTCGACGACGGCACTGCGAACACACACACTCACATTTCATTATAAATCATAATATTATTATTATTATTTATAATAGTTGTTGTTGGTCAGAATCATGCAAGTTCAGCAAAATTTATATACGAACTCATCCAAACGGACTGGGAAGAGCATTGCATTGCGACTCAACCCACATTTCGCATCCAATTTTGTAGAGGCACCCGCAGTCACTGGATCTGCTGGATTTCAGACTTATTGATGTGTTCAATTTATCGCTACTATTATTTATTAGAACCAAATAACTTCACTAATCTACATAAAAGGGAAGACCACTTCATTCAAGTGCTTTTAAAATATTTCCCGTCCCTAATATGGCCATTATATCTTAGCGTTTGGTAGAACACATTACAGAGAGAAATGTAGTGCTCAAAAATTAATTTGGCAAAAAAATCAGATAAGACCTTTGCGCTTAGCACGGTAGTATACTGACGTGTTCAAGTATCTTCCTACAGGAACACACCTTCAAGAGTCCAGGTTCTTGTCCCTTACATCACTCAGGCCCGCGGGTAAACATCCTAATATTGCTAAGCGTTTATTAACAGAAAAATTGAGACCCTTGCAATTCAAAATGCACAAAACATTAAATTGAAGATTCAATTTTACATTTCGATATTCTACACATTTCTCATAATGATATGGAGTGTGAGGAGCACTAAACAAAAAAATAAACCCACAAAAAAAATCTACAATTATCACCCTTTTGCAGAATACGTCGTGAAAAAACTTTACTGGAGGTCTCTTAAATAACTGAAAATGAGGTTTTAAAGGCCTTGAACATACTGTTTCTGAGTGTCATAGTTTTCTTCAGAAGTACAACTATTCTTGGCAAAATATATACTAAGTAGGACGATACGAGATGTTTGAAACACGTTCAGTAATTACTAGTCAATGCAGTTTTCAGTTTCAAATAAACAAGATTAAAAGTCAACTGATAAATTATGAAAGAGGTGCAATTAACTAATGTTAAGTAGCAAGCATCAGTTATATTATATAAAATGATTTTATTTCGAAAACTTCCCTACCCTAGTATTCATTGCAATAATGAACATCTTCCACACATCCTCGTGGTCACAATGCTCGCAGAATAACTACCGGCGCTGTCGGAGAGTGCACTGCACACAGAGACTTCTTTCCACAAGGCCCAACTTTAGACCAAGGACTCGCGAAATGAAAATTTTGAATCAACGAATCCTACATCAAATTAAAATAAAATTTAAAGTAAAATCTTGAAAAATGAATTCCCAAAAATCTTCAAACACCATAAAGAACGCATTCAATACTGCCAAGAATTGACCTAACCAGTGTACTTTCAGTAGCACGCGAAATTCATGAAAATAAGATGCAGCTTTTTTCAGACGAAGAGAGAAAATGATTATTCCCTTCGGACGCGACGCCACGCCGACGTGCCTCGAAAAGGTCGGCTCCTCTTCCTTACGAACGTTGTGAAGCGAAAACAGCGGGGACCTGATGTTGAGGCAGACATATTCGCGCCAATCCAGTCAACGCAGTAAAAGGGCTTAAGAGCGTTACATTGAGCATTGCCTTAAGAAACACGCGAGGAGCCAGAGAGAGAGCGCGCTCGATGGACACTCTTTTGATGTGAAAATGATTTCATATACATCGACACTGCTGCAATTTTGTAAATATTGAGCCGCCACAGTACAATTGACATCTCAAACCTACAACAGTGCTTCGAGTCTTGTTAACGCACACTAGGTTCAGGAGACCTAGATACGTCGAAATTGGAAAATTATTAAAAAACACACTTTCAAGAACACACATAAGAATTTATACTCCTGAAGTTAAAGCGTCAAACAAATTTAACGGGGACATGCTGTTGTGATTCTCCTTGAAAATGACTTATCGTGTGTACCTGCACGTATACGAGAATGTTTAAACATTTTCTGATGCTGGCGATCTCTCACGATCATTCTTGCGTTAGGCTTTAATGAATAGTTCTGATGATTATTTGCATTTTCGCACATTATCTATATTCCCGATGCAAAAATTAAAATAAGTCAATGTTGAACGGTATTCATTGGTGTAACGGATTTTGGAAGAACCAAAATTATCACTTGGTGCTTACCAAAGACTGTACCAAGGAAAAATATAAAGCTCTTTGCGAGAACAAATTAATACAATCAGAGGTATATTTAAATAATAAACAAGATGCTCGTTCGAGTATTACCATTTATTTTCCAGATGCCTGGATTAGGCGAATCCAGATATCTATGAGCCAAGGGAACCCGCAGAACTCTGACGTATCGCATGATGTTCTGCGGCATTACACGTGCTTTGTTTACATAATAAACAAGGTTTGTCGTACAGATCCGCAACCATAACGAACACAGGAACTCTTAATACTGTTTTCTACATAAGATCTTCACAAAGTCTTGTACATTAAGTTTTAACTAGTTCATTATTATTTTGTATACAAAACCCGATCAACAGTTCGGTTCAATTTAGAAAAAACTGATCACTTTTTTCAAACAAGCAAAATAGTTATTATAATACTAGATAATTATTAGCATTATTACGGATCTACAAAAACGTGATTTATTATTATTATTATTATTATTATTATTATTATTATTATTATTATTATTAAAGAGAATGTATACTGTAAACTTACACAATTACAGTACGTGACAGAGCCAATGTTTAAAATAAATACTATCTTTTCTAATGGTGAGAGAATTTTGTTCATGCTTCTTTTCAAATCTCTATTTTCTTTTACACAAAGAAAAATGAACTTGATTTTAAAAAATACCAATCTACAATTGCATTTCGATCTTAACGAAACTCTGTACACAAAATTTTCTAAAGCTAGAACGGTTTTTGTCTAAACAAAATTTCGCAAAAATGAGCCCTACTGGCCTTTTATATCCTTTAAGCAAGATTTATGTGAACACACTGTTTTTCGCTTTTTCGCTAAAAGATGCCGAACAACTAAACTAAAACAGATTCTACGTTTCTGAAAGCACAAACAATTTTCTACAAAATGCTTTTGGAATCACTCCAAAATCGCAACTAAACGTTGAGTAATTGAAGGCCAAATTTGTTTATGGAAGTTTGCCGGAAGTAGACAACAATACATCTGTTTACAACCGCTTCTTACAACTGTGTTTCTAATGAAAATGACCGGGCATGGCAGATAAGGGTGGGACGTGACAGTTTTAAGAAAGTAGAATTGAAGAATGACTCACCATCGTGGATCACCATCGTCTGGGGGCTGTGAGCAGATTCCGTCGGTCTGTAAGGAGAAAGCTCTGGCCTACACCAAAATAAGAAAGAACCATCTGGTCATTGTACTGTAAGCAGGGATTTTGATAACTGAAGTGCATGTGCAATATTCACAGCAAACGTGCAAAAGGATTTGCAAGTGCAAAGATTTCGTTTTGAAGTGAAGTTGTATAAATAAATAAATAAATACATAAAGAAATAAAAATCCAAATACAGTACAAAATCCAAGATGAAACAAATCACAAAAATACATTCCAAAATATTTTCACTCAGGAGGCAACAAAGCAGGAAATACTGCATGCAATACAAAACTATCTTAAATGGAAATATTTAATGTTTTCCTTATATTACCAATAAGAAAAATACATTTGGAACAATTAATTCATTAATCTACAAAGTAGCACATTACTGCAAATTTTATATTCAAAAGTAGTGCCTAATGTTTTGAATCTTAAAACATTTTAATTGGATTTTAAAACAAACAAAACATGGTGATTAAATGACTAAAATTAAAAAGGTAACAGGCAATTTCTCTGTGCATATTACCTGCCCCCTGATATTGCACCATTGAGCAGAAATTGCATTTTTATATGTGAACAGTTTAAGAGGTTAAGGTGGTGGTCCATAGTTGGTGGGATTCAACATTTATTATGGCCATACTCGTCTTAAATTTCAATTTTGATGTGAACAAACACATTTTAGAAAACATTTCTGAGATGATTCCTCAAAAGTTTATTAATACAACTATAATTTAGAGAAACTATTTGATTATAATATTCCCCTACATGTCATTCTGATTAATCATTGATATGAACATCACAATAAAATAAGCACCAGGTTATTTAAAATGCGTAAAATTCATACAAAGTAGGCTCTTGATCATTAAATTCATGAACTAAATTTTGCAATGATTAGAAAGCATTATTTATGATAGAAATACTATTTGATTGTTGCATGTGAGAAAAAGCATATTTTATAATATATAAAAGAAATAGGGCTCTGTGGTGTTTGTAAATACTCATGTCATTACAAACATTCTAAGAGAATTCAAAAGTATTGTAATAATGGCTTAAAATATACAATAAAAAAATTTTGATTTATCCCTTACATGATATTTTGGAAATTAATTTTCTATTGAGCAATTTCAATTTACCCCAATGTAAGAACGATATAATTTAAGGGAGAAAACCTGTTTAAGATTGTGCTTTGTATTATTGCAAGTTGGCACATTTACAACCACAGATTTGTCTAAGACAACCTCTAAGGCACCTGCAATTGCAATAATATATTTTTTTTGATATTAACAATAACCTTTGTGTAAACATTTTTAAGGATATTTACTGTGTTAGAAGCAAATGTTACTGAACTTAAATCGTTTCCAATGTATTCTTTCTGATAGCAATGTACATGTTCCAAATATATTATTTTACACAACATAAGAATCGAAAGTCAAGTACTGAATGTTACTCGTACACCTTTTCTTGTACAATGGATTGAAGAAATGTGGGTAGAGTGGGGCTATTAGTTACAAAATCAGCCACTAGATTTTAAGAAGCAATGCCAATTTCTGGAGAATCAGCCATGCCTTCGCAACTTTCTCGATAATTTTGTTCTAACTTTCTCAGGAGTTTGAGGTATCTCCAATGATGGATCTTCATGTGCTTCGGTCATTTGTTTAGATTTTTTGGAGAAAATCTCTAGAACAGAAGTTCTTGTCTTCAACAGAAAATAGTTTCTTCTACGAGCCAGTGAAGATGTGTTGGGAATGTTGTCATCAGTGCTCGCTGCAAGCTTGTGCCCTCAACTGTTTATTATGCCAGAGAGGGGGAAGCAAGGTCATTGTTGAAGAAAAGTTGTCCGAGTAATACTTTTCAACGGAATATCAAAATTTAGTAAACTTCAGAACATTTGTGTCAAGCACAACCAAAATTGAAGGTTCATGTCATTTTGCTTTCATAGGGCTATGTAAAAATTTAAAGTAAACATCTGTAAGGTTTTTATTTCTAGTTTACTTAATCAAAATTACTAAATAACCAAATCTACAATACATAAATATCTACAGACATCAAAACAGTAACTCCAACTACGCCATACCAACTAAACGAACTTTCTCTATTAAAAACAATTTTAAAGATTCATATGAAATCCTTGAAATATATTACAATTGACAGAGTTTTAGAAAAAGGGAATCATTTTTAATCAACAATTTGGCAGCAATGGTTTTTGAAAGAAACACATGAATAGATTGTATGTGAATTCATGTTTTCAAATCTCATAATATCAAGAATTTTGTTTTCAAATTTAAGTTGTTTTACTAATTCTTTAGAAAATTTCCAGAAAATATAAAAAAGGTGGCACAACTTTTTTGGAGCCACCATTTTTCAAATTGGGAAACTCACAACTGAAATTTTGTTGAAGGTTTTGGTAAGACACTAATGGAGTGGAGCATGCCCTACCTTCACCAATATCCACCCACTAAGTTACGACTATCACTTACAGTGGCTTTGGAGGATCACTGGCAAGCAGCGTGCCGTCATTGCGCACACGACCATCTTCCTCTTCATCAGAATCAGAATCCACAGCATCCAGAATTGAAGAAGCGGATTGTGGCAATGACGATGGAAGTTCTTGTGATGCTGAAGCCTTGCCGTTTTGGCGAGAGGCTCTTGCAGGTGCCTCAGGCTGACTGCCACTGCCTGCTGGGCTACTGCCCATAAGGTTGAGTTGGGCAGCCAGCATGTCAAGGTCCTGTGACCATACAAGTAGGTATTGCATCCAGAAAGAGATTACCTACATTAAATTCTGACGTTTTTCAATTCATTTATTTGATATGCATAATAATATTAAGCACCTTGTAGAACATTTGTTGCTATTACATTCAAGACACACATGAATAAAACTAAGTCAAATTCCTAGGGATTGGAATCAATTTGGTATTCATAAAACATGTTATATTATGTTAGAATTATATTTCTTGTTATTCAGTAATAAGTTATATTACACAAGATTGTTTATGTTTGGTAAATAATGTCTAGCACATTTTGGGTTGATTCAATTGTTCTAAATAATAATGCAGTGAAATACCAATTATTCTACATGTTGACAACACAAAAGAACATTAAATCAAATAGTGCTGCACGAACACAACAATGGAAGTCCCATCTGTAGTCGTATTTTACGTAAAAGGGAATGAGTTGCTGGGATATTGGGTTTCTGCATCTTCTTATGAAAGCAGATGCATGCACTTCTGTAATTAGAATGTAATT